CCATGCATCGCATGATTTGCTTTATCAGCAGCTGCAAATAAATGGTTAACTTGATAAAGACACCTCTGTTTTGGCACTGCTGCATGCCCAATTCCTAAATGCGCCTTTAGGCAGTAGCAATAACAAGATTTCTGTTCTCTAGAGCTCCGACACTTACCACTAGGTAGGAGGACACAACGTTGGAATGACTACCTGTAGTCTGAGAAGGGATGGGGCCTTGGCTTGGTCAGAAGGCTAGTCTACGCGAACAAGGTCAAATGGAAAACTAAAGAGACCTTCAATCATTTGGTGGTCACCTGAGCAAAGTTTTGCGTGTACTTTTAAAGGTTTTAGATCCTTTACTCTTCTTGCTCAGCAAGAAGCCTGTTTTCTTCCCTTCGAGCATACAGAGCCCCATTTGAATTAACTGACACTGCATGTGACCGCATTTTAACCTAAAGAAAAACAAACCATTAATGATAGCCCACCATTCTAAACTTCTAAAATCAAAGTCTTAATTTGCATGGACAAGCTTCCGCCTATCTTGAACTTGAATCTCATAGCATTTATTAGACTCCATTTCACCTCAAAGGCAAACCCACAGATTTACTTTGTAGTAGGTCAGAGTGGAAAGAATAGTAGAGTAACACTTTTGTTCCAACTTTAGAGAAAAGGGAAGTTTTACTGGATTTCCCTCACAGTTCGATGGGCAACGGTAGAAGTAAACACTGAATGCTGTAAAAAGCCCATGGACAGTATGAACCTCGAGTGTTTTACGGCTCCACTTGCAATAGACTTAGTTAAGGTCAGAAAGTCAAATGACATGACGCATTATTTTGAAGACATTTGTTTCTACCTCCACTTCTTCTACATGGCAATAAAAGTAATATTCATGTAGGAGAGCCATTTTTCGTACACCATTACAGAGTTTATTTTAATCAGTTGACAGCTTATGAAAGCAGGCATTGAGAACAATAGAACTGCGTTTTTGGAAAAAAGATCACAAAACATGTATCGATGATTGCCAAAAGATGAGGGAAACTGGATTCGATACAGTTACGCCCTTAAAGCGCAAACTATGGGAAACGAAACCGTGAAGAGAAATGAAAAAGCAACGCTTAGTAAGGAAAGTTCGTGAAAAATCTATGGTGTTCACAAGTTACTGCAATTAAATATGCCTTTTGAAGCGTCACCTGTCCATCGCACCTAGTAGTGGGCACTGAAGCAGAACGGCACCACGGATGCCATTGTGACGACCACCGACAAGTCAGTGTCCTCATGTTTGGTGAAGAAAAGATACTGGAGCTAATGAGAAGATAGTTGACCACAGCGCATCTGATGCATCTCGGCGCTTCTGGTGGACCTGCCGTCTCGTGTGGATGGGAACAGGATTTGACTGCGACCGAATTTCGCCGTCTGCGTGCACAACGGCCGGGCTTGGACGACCGATCTTAAAGCGCCTTCATGAGTGGGTGTACCGAAGTTGGCGCAACTCCATTAGAATAGGGCTTCTGATTTTTGGGGTATTTTCGCATTTTAGTGGCCTTCATGCGGGCTGATTCGATGATTTGTGGCATT